TCCAGCTGTTGGAGTCCAGGCTCGGCTCCTCCATGTTAACTCGCTTTGGCTGTGAGGGACTGGGTTGGGGTGTCAGGGGCTCTGCTCGGGTCTTCAGAATTAGTGTCAGCCCTTTGGGACTAGATTGGGGTCTTAGGCCTTAGCGGGGCCATCCCGGGCTAAGTCCATTACAATCAGATTGACCTGGGTCCTGAGGAAGCCCGGGTCTCCATACAATTGCCTTAGAGCAGCGGTTCTCAACCTGTGGGTTGCGACCCCTTTGGGGGTCGAACGACCCTTTCACAGGGGTCGCCTAAATACATCCTGCATATCAGATATTTACATGACGATTCATAACAGTAGCAAAATTACAGTTATGAAGTAGCAACGAAAATAATTTTATGGTTGGGGGTCACCACAACATGAGGAACTGTATTAAAGGGTCGCGGCATTAGGAAGGCTGAGAACCACTGCCTTAGAGGAAAGGAACCATAAGTGATCACGTGTGGCCTGGGAGCCCGAGGTGGAAAGGGCTGCTGACTCTCCAGGGGGAGGTGCCTGTGGAAATCACGGGGACACCCTGAGGCTGGCTCCCTGGGAGAGGGGGGATTGCTTAGGGGCGAGCTGGGCTCCTGGGGTAGGTTCCTCCCTTTGGGACTAGGCTCCGCCCTCCGGGACTGGCTACAGCCCTAGGGTCTGGGCTGGGCTCTTAGGGGCTAAGCTCTGACCTGGGGTCTGGGCTTCGGCTCTTTGGGCCAAGCTGGGAGCGTCAGGAGGGCACAGGAACGGGCACAGGGGCAGCGAGCAGAGGCTGTCCAGGTCTGGGGCCAGTTCTCTCTGCACAGAGGGGCCAGCGTGTGTTTAGGGAAACTTTCAGCTGAAACCGCGTTTAGGTCTCCGCGCCCGTGGCACTTCCTCCTCCCAGCACGGCCCTCCAGTACCAGTCCTGGTGGGATGCCTGTGGCTCCCTGGCCTTTCTTGTTTGAAGAGGTGGTTCCCTCCTCCTGCCGGGCGTGCCTCCCCGTTCCCTGGATCCCGCCTGTGCCCTGGGTCTCTTCCAGCGCCACTGCCCATTGCAGTAGCCGAGCAGGGAGAAAGGTGAGCAGGAAGCAGATTCCGAGAACAAAGGCCGGGCTGTGTGGGAAGGTCAGGGAGGTGAGGACCTTCCACAGCCTCACCGCGGTGCCCGCAGGTCCACAGCCTCGAGGACCCAGTGGGCCTGGGCCCAGCGACGGGGCCGCTGCGTTTGATGGTCACCCTCTGTCCCAAGTCAGCATCTTTTTTTTTTTTTAACACTTTTCCGAAATACCATCCACATACCCTTCCGCTCACATAGTAAAACGTACAAGTCACTGGCTTTAGTCTGTCCCCAGAGTTGTTGCACAGCAAGCACCAGTCACGTTTTAGACATTCTGTCACCCCGAAGAAACCCGTATCCTCAGCCATCACGCCCCTGGCTCCAGCCCCCGCCTGAAGCCACACCTCTCTTTCCCGTGCCTGTGGGTTTGACGACACTGGACATTTTACATAAATGAAATCGGACCCTGTGTGGCCTTTTAGGTCTGGTTTCTTTAGCATCATGTGTTCAAGGTTCATCTGTGCTGCAGGATGCATCCAGAGTTCATTTATTTTTTGTGGCTGAATAATATCCCACTGTGGGGAGACCCCATTTTGTTTATCCAGGTATCACTTGATGGACATGTAGGGTGTTTCCGCTCCATGGCGATGATGAATCACGCTGCTGCGAGCATTCATGCACATTTTCACGTCAGCATGTTTCATTTCCTGGGCACACATGAGCAGAATCGCTGGGCCAGGCGGTAACTTTACAGCTCACGCCTTGCGGACCGGCCAGACTGTTTTCCACGTCTCCAGGCCAGCTTCCCGCTGTGCGACGCCACAGTGGCCGGAGCGGGTTCCCCACCCGGGGATGCGACGGGCTAAGTGGTCTCTGACCACCCCGAATGGGCGCCATCCCTGTCTCCCTTTAACCTTCTGGAGGGGAACGTCCAGCACACTTAGTGGATTCCCCAAAGCCTCCCTGAGCCTCCAGACCCCGTTCCTGTCAGTCCAGGGTTGGGTCAGTGCTGCACGCTGTCCTGCTCTGACCTGCTCTTGTGGGCCCCCCTTAGGATGAAAGGAACAGCCCGGCCCCAGCCCAGTGGCTCCGTCGGTTGGAGCCTCATCCTGTACATCAAACGCATTTCGGGTTCGATCCCCAGTTGGGGTACATACGGGAAGCAACCAATGGATGTTTCTCTCTCACATCGATGTTTTGTTTCTCTTCCTCTCTCTCTAGAATCAGTAGAGGATTTAAAAAAGTACAGCCTGGTACATGGTGAAATGTTATATGACATCTGTTTTCTTTTCTCTCTCCTTCCTGGTGCTCGTCCTTCCGGAACCAGCAAGGAGCACTTCAACAATGTCCCTGACCTGGAGCTCAACCCGATCCGATCCAAAATCGTCCGTGCCTTCTTCGATAACCGGTGGGCCTTGTTCCACGTAGGGGGACTGTGTCCTCGGGGGAGCAGTTTGCCCTTGTAACTAACGTCTCACAGCCCTCGTGTGCTCAGCACAGCCCTGGAGCTGGCGCAGGGAAGAGGAGGGAGCTGTTTTGGGTAGGAGCTGTGAGCACAGATTTGGGTCACACCATTCTGGGGTCGTAGCTGGGTAACTTGGGTGGCTCACTCAGTCCCTCTAGGCCTCCGTATGAGTCAGCTTTGGCTGCGTAACAAATTACCCCAACACTTAGCAATTTAAAACAATGAGTATTTATGCTCTCACCGTTTGTGTGGATCAGGCATCTGGGTGCAAACAAGCTGAGTCCTCGGGCTCAGGGTCCGCTGGGGCTACAGTCATCTGAAGGCTCGACTGGGGAGGCTGTGTTCCCGAGCTCCCTGTTGGCAGGCGGCCTCTCAGGACTGCTCGCACGTGGCAGCTGCTGGCTCCCCCAGCTGAGATGTCCCCATGACAAGGAGGGGGACTGACTGGGCACCCCCGCTAGAAGCCACCAGTTTTGGTAATGTAACAATGAAAATACATCCTGCATATCAGATATTTACATTATGATTCATAACAGTAGCAAAATGACAGTTATGAAATAGCAACGAAAATAATTTTATGGTTGGGGGTCACCACAACATGAGGAACTGTATTTAAAGGGTCGCGGCATTAGGAAGGTTGAGCACTGAAGCGCTAAGGGCTATCCTGCTTGTTGCCCTGGACTACAGATGGGAAAACTGAGGTTCAGGGAGATGGTGCACTTGGCTGCCTGAGTCCCAGAGCTGAGGCTCCGCCAGAGCTCCTCCACCAAATGCCGTGTTGTTGGCGGTGAAAGACTCACATGCCTGGAGGAGGCTCCTGGGGTGTGAGCTCCAGGCCTGACCCTCTGTCTGCAGAGATCGCTGACACAGGAAGAACCAGCAGAAAGAGGAAGGAAGGGATCGGGCCATCAGGACTTCCCTGGCCCGTTCTAAGTAGCGTGAGCCTGAACGGCTCAGCTCTGGTTGGACGGGGGCTGCGGGGCCCGAGCAAGATGCTGAGCCCCTCGGAGCCTCGCCTGCTCACAGCGGGGGAGTGGGGAGTCCTCCCTCCAGGGCTCATGGGGCAAGACCTGAGGAGAGCGACCAGGAGTTCACCAGGCCACGCGGGAGCGAAGACGCCGCAGGATAACTGCTCGTGCAAAGGCCCAGTGAATTCGAAGCACGGCCCTCGACGGCTAGTTGTCCCAGGCCAGCAGGAAAGTGGCCCTTTGCTGGGATGCACAGTAAGGGCGGGGCCCCCGCCTGCCATTCTGATGGCACCTCCCTCCGGGGCCGCCGGACTGTGGCCGCTGGGCTCCGTGTGAGGGCTGGCCGTGGCGGAGGCCTCTCCAGAGCTGTTGTCACCGGGACCCACCTGGTGGCCGTGACCACGCCTGCTGTGCGCTCCCTGAGCCCCGCCCGGGCAATGCCCTTTCTTGCCCCTCAGGAGGGCACACGGACAGGGACGGCAAACTGCCCTGATTCACTAAAGCACCTGGAGCCACGTGACCTGCCCTGGTAGTGACAGGTTCCTAGCGCTGCCTGGGCTGCTGGGACGCTGCCAGAGAACAGACACTGCAGGCCCGGCGGCCGGCCCGGGTCTCTGTCCCAGCTGCTCCCCAGCCCCGGTAGCCTGAATGCAGCCACAGCGACAGTGAAGGAATGGGCGTGGTTGTGAGCCAATAACACTGTATTTGCGGACACTGAAATTTGAATTTCATGTAATTTTCGCTTGTGATGAAATGCCATCCTTTTGGGTTTCCCCCCAAACATTCTTTCCACCATTTCAAAACATGAAGACCCTCCTGGGTCCCTGAGCTGCACAAACACGGTGGCCCCAGGCTGCTGTGCCACCCCTGATGCCAAGGAAAGTGTCAGATGGACCCGGTGAGCTGCTGCACTGCTCGGAGCCTCGGTTTCCCCAGTGCGAGTCCCACCTCTGTGCCCGCAGCACAGCCAGGCCGCCCTGCGTCCCAGGCCCGGGCGCCAGGTCTCCGAGGACCTCATGGGGCTGTGCTGAGCCTCCCAGGCCCTGGGCCCCCGAGCAGGTTGTTGGGAAACAGAACCCAAGCTCGGACGGCCACGGAGGGCAAAGTATGGGTCCCAAAGGGCCGAGTTCTCTGCGCCGTGGGGAGTTTTCAGTTCATTTCCAACATGCCTTGCCACCCCCGCAGGAACCTGCGCAAGGGGCCCAGCGGCCTGGCCGACGAGATCAACTTTGAGGACTTCCTCACCATCATGGCCTACTTCCAGCCCATCGACGTCACCATGGACGAGGAGCAGGTGCAGCTGTGCCGGAAAGAGAAGCTGCGATGTGCGCACCCTCCCCGTTCTGCGTGGGCGGGGTGGGGGGTGACAAGCACGGGGGAGGTGACCCCACCACAAAGAGTGGCTCTCCCGCCCCTGAAATGGCCCTGTGGCTGCCTCCCCGTGAGCACCCTCAGCCGCGGGCGGTCCCGGGAATAGAAGGGGTTGTCGGTGATGCGAAAGCAAGGCCCTGGGTTCAGACAGACCTGGCTCCCTCAGGCCCTTCCACTGGGCGGCCGTGGGACCTGGGCCTGCACGTGGGGATCTGTGCGCCCAGGCTGGCTCGGAGGCTGATGGGATGACACGGCCGTGGACTCGATGAACTGGGTCCAAACCCCTGGTTCCCCGTCCCTGACAGGGTGGCCGAGGGCAAGCACCTTAACTTCCATGAGCTTCAACAGCCCATCTGAGCCTCATGGGGAGCGTGAGGATGAGGGGAGAGGGTGTTAGACCGGGGCCCCTGGCCAGCGCTGGAGAGATGCCAGCAAAGGACTCCTGAGCTTGGGGCTCCCTGGGGCCGAGCCCCGAGGGCGGGAGGTGCCTCTCTCAGCCGCTGCCTCTGTGGCTGTGGGCACCAGTGGTGGCAGCAAAGGAATGAGTGGGTGTCACCAGGAGGAGACGCTAACGCCCCTCATACCCACAGCAGGAAGCTCCCATCAGCCAGGGCCCAGGGCCTGGGACCTGCCAGGGACAAAACCATGAACTAGCACTGCTTTGTCTCCATGCCAACGATGCTGTCACATCATCCACGCTCGGTGTGCCAGGCGGTCCTGGGCCCTAACCCGCCCGCTGTCGCTCATCAAGCCCTGGCAGCACCATGAGGGAGACGTTTGCCATTCCCATGTCAGATGGGGAACCTGAGGCTCAGAGAAGTTGGGTCACCTGCCCAAGGTCACCCACCAGGAAGTGGCCAGTCTGCCCCCTGGCCTTTGCCCTTGACCCTATGGCTTTGGCATTTAGGTTTCACTGTGGGGGTCTTTTGCTCAGTGTGAGGTAGGTTAGGAGCTGGGAAGATTAGGGGGCAGGGCCCCGGGCTCCCTCCGCCTCCCTGACCGAGCCTCCCCACTGCCGCCCCAGTTCTGTTCCACATGTATGACTCGGACAGCGACGGCCGCATCACCCTGGAGGAATATCGAAATGTAAAGTATGCTCCTCGCCCGCCCGGCCAGGGCTCCTGGCGCCTCCCGCCCAGCGGGGACGGAGGCCCTGGGTCACGTCTCTGCCCGCCGGCAGGTGGTGGAGGAGCTGCTCTCGGGGAACCCGCACATCGAGAAGGACTCGGCCCGCTCCATCGCCGACGGGGCCATGATGGAGGCGGCCAGTGTCTGCATGGGGCAGATGGTGAGTGATCTGCCAGGGCTGCCGGCTGTGGGGCCTGTAGACCAGCTGGTAGCCTCTGGAGTGACCGGCAGCACCTGGCACCGTGGCAGGGCCGGGCGGTGTGGAGCAGGCTTGCTTTACTGTGTCCTGCGTGGCTCAGAGGGGATTTGAGGCCCTGAGGCAGGGCTCACAGGGAGCTCTCTCTTGGGCCATCTGGTCTGGTCTGGGGCCCTGAGAGCTAGGC